GAAGAGGGTTGAGGGATGGAGAGAGAGGGGTTGAGGGATGGAGAGAGAGGGGGGTTGAGGGGTTGAGGATGGGGGAGAGAGGGTTAAGGGATGGGAGAGGGGTTGAAGGGTTGAGGGGATGGAAGGGAGAGAGGTTGAAGGGGTGAGGGAGGGGAGGAGAGGAGGATGGGAGGAAGACGGGATGAGGGAGGGAGAGGATGAGGGAGGGAGACTGAGAAAGGGAAGAGGGAGAAGAACGGATAAAAGAGGAGTAGAAGGGAAAATAAAGAGAAGGGGAATAGGGGAGAGATGGAGAAGAAAAAGGTGAGAGACAGGGAAGAAGATATTGATATTGATATGTTTATTTAGCAAAAAAAAAAAAAAGAAAAGAAAAAAACAATAATATGTGACCATTTTTTACAGCAAAAAATCCTGTTTGAGAGAACATCTCTCGATCAGGCACCTAAAGAGGAGAGAGAGAGAGAGAGAGAGAGAGAGAGAAGAGAGAGAAGAGAGAGAGGAGGAGAGAGAGAGAAGAGAGAGAGAGAGAGAGAGAGAGAGAGAGAGGACTAATTTAAAACACAGAAAATACAACATTCTTCTTTGTCCTCAGGACTTGAAATTAGTGAACCTCACCAAACATCGATTCCCAGATTCGTTCACATCCATCAAATATGAAGACTTCTGCAGGGATCCTGAGAGTAAATCATAATTTTTTTGTGTGTATTTTAACGCTTATTCAAGATGGATTTATTATCGTTATCATTATTGTTCTCGTTACCGTTATTATCATTATTGTTATTGTCATGATTAGCATTATCATATTCACCATCGTCATCATTACCATATTTATCATTGTGTTAGTATTCTTAATAACTTACTGGATTATTAACTACTGTGATATGATGATAAATATTATTATAACCATTAATACCCCCCCCCAAGCCGTGGCCACAAACCTCTGGAAATTCATCTCGGGAGACAGCCGAGCCGCCCTCCCGCAGTCGTGGCTGAACTACCTGAAGTTGCACACGGACCCCGCCCACAGCAGACCGAGGAAGAGGTTCGGGACGCTGAGAAACACCCGCAAACAGACCCAAGCTTGGAGGAGAGAGATCTCGGACACGCTGTTGAGATCGGTCGACGGTCGAGACGGCGTGTGGGGAAGTGATCGACATTTTGGGGCATCGGCGGTTTGGCAGCACGTGAGGGAAGCGAGGAATTTTTCCATTCCTTTGATGTGATACGGTGGGGTGGGTGGGGAGAGGGGTGGGGGGGGGGAAGGTGGAGGAGGGTCTGTTGCGTGTGTGTGTTGGGGGTTTGTGGGTATGTATGTGCGTTAATTTTTTAAAATGTGTGTACGTGTTTACTTGTTTGTTTGTGAGTGTGTGTGTTATCGGCATGTTGTAAGTTTGTGTGTGTGTGTGTGAGTGTGTGTGTGTGTGTGTGTGTGTGTGTGTGTGTTGTGTGTGTGTGTGTGTGTGTGTGTGTGTGTTTGTGTGGTGTGTGTGTGTGTTTTGTCTGTGCGAGAAAGGGGGGAAAGAGGATCTTAATAACCACCGACTTTAACAAACAAAATATCATAACTTGTTCATAGATCACCTAAATCCTAACCATACAATCATATACATATCTATACATATTACCTATGAACTTTAAAGAATGTTAATTGTGTGAGTCACATTGTTACATTTCAGTGAATGTAATAGTTTGTAATAGTTGTAGAAAATATATTTTTTCCAAGTTCTTTCAAATAGCAATTCTGTAAATAATGATGTTTCAGTAAGACCCGGATGTACAATATATGAAAATGTGAATGTCTTTATGAAACGCACCACGAATAAAAATATATGTATTGAGTTGTTTGATGATTTTGTTAATTTACAATTTTGTTAGCAATGGTTTAAAGTAAATGACAATTATAATGAAATTGTGATGTTGAATAAACTTGCCAAATCCGGCACGATACCAAAGTACTGTCAGCATCTCTCTCTCTCTCTCTCTCTCTCTCTTCTCTCTCTCTCTCTCTCTCTCTCTCTCTCTCTCTCTCTCTCTCTCTCTCTCTCTATATATATATATATATATATATATATATAATATATATATATATATATGTATGTATTGTATATAATATATGTATACACACGCACACGCACACGCACACGCACACACACACACACAAATATGATAAGAAGGATAACAAGATACAGGGAGATCAAACCTAAACAAAAATTGGTCGAACTAAAGACAATAAAACAAACAAATAGATGAACAGAACAAATTANAAGGGAATGGAGAGGGAATGAAGAGGGAATGGAAATGGAACGAAAAGGGAATGAAGAGGAAAGGGAGAGGGAATGAAGAGGGAATGGAAATGGGACGAAGAAGGAATGAAGAGGCAATGGAAAGCGAATGGAGAGGGAATGAAGAGGGAATGAAGAGCGAAAAGGAATGGGAAGGGAGCGGAAAGGAGATGGAATGGTGCACAGAAACCACCATGGACAGAAAGTAAAAGAAAAGGAAAATGGAATGGAAAGGGAACAAAGAGAGAATGGAAAAGGAATGAAAAGGGAATGGAAAGAGAATGAAAAAGGAAATAAAAGAGAACAAAAAGATAACGAAAAGTTAACGAAAAGAGAATGAAAAGCGAACGAAAAGGGAAGTGAGAGACAACAGAAGGGGATCTGAGTGCGGGAGAAACGCAAGATAAACGCGGGAGAGAAGCAAAGGCGATTAAAGGGGAGCTCTTACGGAGGAGAAAGATGGGGGAAAGAGCGAGAGAAACCTTCGTAAAAGCTTAACGAATCTCTACGTATTATTTGGTCACAGACGTTCTCATCAACGATTTGCGACGCGCTGTCCTTTCTCAGGTCGTGCTGTCGTTGTTTTTTTTTTCGTTCTCTCTCTCTCTGTGTCTCTGTCTCTGTCTCTGTC